GGGGGGAAGAGTGCCTAGCACTACTAACCTGGAGCTGGAGCTGGAGCTTCAGCTTGAGCCGGGAAAATGAAAGCCTGGCGCGTGCTCCTGTGCTCCATCGTCGCCACCAGGAGAAGCCATTGTTAGACTTGCTTTCCAGCGAGAGGTGGGAGAAATGGAGACGGGTCGTCGATGTGTGTGATGGATCCATCAGGCCGGCCATATTAATCAGTTCCTTAATTTATTTTATTGATTACGCGCTTGCGCCCACATGATGTGGTCGTAATGCAGCATATTTTTTGACAAAGAGTTTGGTGAACGGCTACATTTGATATATTTTTCCAGTGTGTAACTGTGTACCGAAGCAAAATGAATGACTCATAACTTTAAGCTAAATAAATGACTCATCTCTTTCAAGTCTCCCCAAACACGTTCAGAAAATGGTCAATTAGTGAGCAGAACCATGTACATACTAGTTATAGATTTTCTTTTGTAGCTGGAGTTAAGGGTAAATGAATGAATATAAGGCAAGTATATTTTTCTTAGAAAAGGAGGATATACCTCTGGCCTCTGCATCTGGACGATGCATGCAACCATTTTATTAATTATTCACAGAGACCTTATAAAGTAATACATTAGTAAGCCAAAGCCACCATCTTGACAAAACATGTCGCTACTCCTATCCCCCTGATGAAGGGGTGCTGAAGCCTAACATTTAAAGCTGGATGCCCCGAGCCACAATGTCGGGACTGGGTCACACACTGGTCCGGTGTACTCTCAGAGACCCCCGCCGCCGTCTTCCACCAATCCATCTTCAGAGCAGGTATTGACGCACTGACCTTGCCAGTCCTGTCGCCGACGCCTGACAACGCCACCATCCTGCACGTATCCATGCCGCCGGGATCTACCGTCAGCCTTGTGGTAAATGTAAAACCACACCTCCTCTTGTCCCCTCCATCCAGCACTTGATCCAAAACGATGCATCTAGAAGGGAGAATGACACCGAAGGCGCCGTCATCGTCCAGTCCGGTAGACCCAGATCTAGGGTTTCCCCCGAAGCATCCTGATCGAGTTGACGTGACCTGCAGCAACGATGCCTCAAGAAGGAAACGAAGTCAGAGACACCGCCATCGTCCGCCAAGACCGTAGTCAGGCGCGATTTTCACCGGAGGCCGCGTCATCTCAATCTTGTGGCTGGCTGAAACCATGCAGAGCTTCGCCATGAAGACGTATGCTGCCGCCGGTACTCTGGCGGAGATCCTCCATCCCCTCACCAGAGCCCTCATCGCATCTCCGACCATCAACTTGAAGAATCGACGACAGATCTAGGTGGGATCCAGATCCGTGCCCGCCGCCATGTCCACCATCGCCAACAGCATCAGCCATGGGGTTGTCGGTTGCCGACGCACGGCCATGGAGCCGCCCTGGCTGCTGTGCAAAGCCCCCAGCCCGAGGTGCCCCAGCCGCCTCGAGTGGTTGCCGTCGCCTCCTCCTGCCTCAATGCCTTGGCACCGGGCGCTGCCACCACCGCGACCAACGCCAGTGGCAGCAGCGGCAGGATCTTTCACTGTGGGGTGGGGGGCTGGCGGCGCTTGGATCTGATCCCCCTGGCGCCGCCCTGGGGTGGCGGCGCTGAGCTGGCAGATACATAAAACAGAGAAGAAACGATCGATCCCCTTCGTCCTCTAGCCCAGCTAGCACGACCATCTCGCCGCATGCTCGGTGTTTGCATCTAGTAGTAAATGATGACTCATAGATCGTCTATTCATCTTGCATTGCTTGGTAGGCAACCAAAAGTTCCTATTTTCTGTATGGATTAACTGTAGATTTCTTTTATCAGATTAATTTGTTGGACTCTATAGATTATGAAGTCTTATGCATAGCATACTAAGTCTTGATGCCCCTTCTTTTAGTTCATATTAGGTATGCAGATGCCTAGTTGTCATACTTTGTTGTTTGGCTAGGCAACTAACGCACAAGTTGGTCTTGTTTGTACGTATATGTGTACTAATGGTTGTGAATAAAGTAGAAAGACTTCATACAAGATAAGAAGTCTTGATACTTAAATCCAATTTTTTTAGACTGTGTTTTTGTCATCTATAACCCATTCAACAAAACATGAGTCACCTTGTGTGTGGCGTTCTTGCCCAATTGTCATTTTGTATTCGGAAACTGCCTGGCAACTTCATATATTACTCCCTCCGCACCAAAACTAACTTTGTACTAAATTAGCTACACTTATTTTGAGACGGAGTGAGCATATTTTAACTTGTATCACTTGAATACATAATCAACCAGTGGCTAAACTATTAAGATGCTCAAAAGGGTCCTGCGCAGAAAGACGATTGCTAGCTTATCTTGGAATTAACAATAGGTAGCAGGCGCAACAAATAATGAATTGGACTGTACACGACAGACGACATGGATCTAGAGACTCGGCCAACAAAACATTTACGCATACCATGAACCAGCTTCATGGCAACACAAATATTATTTCTGGCTCCACCAGCAGTCTATATTATAGCCAAGGCAACCTTTCGGTACCTAGCAAGAGCTTCTCCAATTAAACAAGAAATTAGCTAGCAAGAGACGATGAGAACGCACCGCGCGAGCATGACGCTGGAGTTGGGGGACGGCTGAGCGGTGCTTCAGGCCGCCATGCCATCTCTTGGTAACCTGCTCAGCGACGAGTGGGGCGTGGACAAGAAAGTGAAGGACAGGCTGTGTAAGCTCAAGGTCCAGGTGATGAGCATGCATGCTTCCCTTGGGGATGCCTCCGGCATGCTCCAGGCGACAAGGTCAGGGTGCTGTTACAAGCCATCGAGACACGCCTCTACCCTTCATGCCGCGCATGGAGTTGACCAGGGGCACTCTTCTTGCTACTATGACCAAAAAGATTATTAACTAGTACTCCCTTCGTTCGAAAAAACTTATCCCTATTAGTGCTAGATACATCCATGATGCTAGATAAATTTATTTTAGAGACAAGTTTGGAACAACCTTTTTTGGACGGAGGGAGTGTCAAACTAAGGTTCAGGAGGTGCGTGACCGGCATGGCCAGTATCACTGCAAGACATCCCTGAAAAACACTTCCACACGGAAAGTGGGCCATTTTGGCATAGCCGGGGCAGTTGACGATACAGAATAAAATAAAACACTGCATGGCGATCGAGGGGACTGGCCTCGACCGTAGGAAGCAAGTCGCGCGGCGGAGCGGGAGTATTTTGATCCATTTACATTTCACATAACAAAATAATACTGCACGAGGTAAATAGAAATGCTGAGGGCGCGCTTGGTATAGATGTAAGTAAATACTGAGGTATTAATTTTACAAGTGCATTTTACTGGACATGAGTGTTTTCCGGCTTGAAACGAAACCGATCGGTGGAGACGTGTATATTTAAAGGGTGTATCTTAAAGAGAAATGGTAATCGATCCAAACAGTGCCTTACAAGGTTGGCTGAATTAGGATGTAAACGACGACGACAACATGATTTATTGAATCGCGAGATCAACAATTACATAATCGCACATGTTTCTTGAACGCAGACACCATATTCGGTCAATCCCATTGTTGAGCAAGAAGATCGCACACATATATATCATATGGTTTACAATACCAGGGAAATAGCTTCAGTAACAAACTTCGTCATTGTACATACTAGATAGGGCTCCATTGCAGGACGGCTGCCCCTTCGTGCATCTTCACCTGCATTTGTCAAGACAGCACAACATGCGACGATGCGGTCAAGCTGAATAAATTGGACAACGCAATTCTGATAGTTGGGCGGTCATCACGTCTTGTTTCGACACAGTGGAGCCCGATCAACAGCGCTCCTTTAGTTTCCTCATCATACTCGCCCCTCGGCCGTTGGTGAGCTGCATCGAGAATTGCATTTCTCCTACGACGTTCCCGGACATTCTCGACGAGGCTGTTTTTCAAGGGTTTGCCAATCAGGATCGGCACCACGCCACATAGTACCTCAAGCAACAGCACACCGAATCAGATTCTTTAGTAAAGTGGCCATTCTGCAGGAATAATGGGTCCATATAGCCTTGTGTTCCAATAATGTTATTTGTTGAGCGCGAGGTTGCGGCACGGGTAAGTTGTGTCACCAAACCGAAGTTACACAGTTTAGCATCACATTAGCTGGCTTGATGTCCCTGTGCAGGACGGTTCTTGAACAATCATTATGGAGATATTCAAGACCCGAGGCTATTCCAATCAATATGTTGTACCTGAAACACAAACAATGCATTCTATGGCAGGTAAGTAATTTGAAGGTTATAAAATAAGAGTTTCTTTTGATGACTGAAAAAGGTAATCTGAGCATCATGTTCGTGTTTAACTACCTTTGGCGC